TTAAATAACAAACAAGACTATTTTTAAAAGAATACATTTCAATTTTTAAGATATTATTTAAATTCAGTGATATGTTTCATGTACAACCTAAAATTCACATTTAATAAACAAAAATATGAAACTTGGCAGCTCAGTTTCACTATATTAAATTTAAAATACAAATTAAAAACTCCAAGTGATCATAGAGAATTATATCATTGAAATAACTCAAGTTCTGTGTCTTTGTCTTTGCAATTCCTGTGCTTTCAATTTCATTTCCCATCCACTAATTAACAGGACTATGTAGTGCCACAGTTATTAAAGTTCAACCAAAACTGAAGTGATCGTTGAGAGCTTAGATCAAGAAAATATTTTTTCCTGGAGAAATATTTTATCACTGACATTGTTTAGAATTGCTGGAACATGGTGGTAATAAAAAGCAGACTGTAAAAGTCAGTTTTATTATTGTTTTTAAATCCTTTAAAGACAACATATCCCCTTATTTGCCTACTCCGGGGCAACTGCTTCCATTGCAGTGCCCTTGGTACGGCACTTACTGGACCATTTACCTCTGTACTGTCAATTCCACAAGTACTACATTTTCATGTTTATATTTCTGTCCTGGGCACTGTGTTAGGTGTTCCTAAACATTATTTCCTTTGAGCCTCACCACAATCCTACAGTACAAGTATCCTTTCTTACCTTAATTTCATAGATGAAAAACAATCGTATGGACCTTGGATAATGGCTCAAGTATTGGAACTTCTAGATTGATTTTCCAATTTTTACATCTTTTCTATTTGTTTTTTTCTTGTTTGTTCTACTTTGTAGTTTAATTTCATCAAACATGACTTCCAGCACTCACATTTTTAGATTTCCTTTTTTTAATTCTGTCTGCTAACAATCTCTTTATCGTCATTTCCTTCAATGATTTGTAATGTTTGAATGTGAGCTCATTGTCAACAGAAGTTGCTCCTTTTTGTGTCCCAGGCTGAAGAACATCCTTAATGGTTATTATTGTATTTACCTCTACGTGGGTTCCCTCTTGTTTCACTAGGTCAGATCAGTTTTTACCACTCATCAAAGGGTCTCTGCACCTTGTGAAGAGTCTGAATTTGGACTCTTATGACCATGCATGGTACAGATCTGGAGTCTAAATTCCTCTGGGTTGCCTTTTTACCCATGATCTCAGGTGGTCCAATGACAAGCTTCATTGTTGTTTCCCCAGGTACTTTCATACTAGGAGCAGCTCCTTGTGATTACTGGCATAATTATATTGCAAGATGTTTAGCTTTAGCTCTCTACAAGCATAGAATCTGAGGCTTGCAATACTTTCACTCTGCCACATCAGAACCCAAGATTCAATAGTTAAGGCCCATAAAGCCCTAACTTCTTTGAGCTTCAGTTCTTGTTCACTATACCAACCTTGAGTTTATTTTTTATTTCTAGCATCTGGGGATTTCATTCTCTTAGTTTCAAGTATTTTTCTTATGTTTTATTCAGAATTTCTATTTGTTTTGAGGGAATGGTTTTGTGACGGCTTGGTATACAGTAGCCCACCATCTATCTTAGTAAGTTCCCACTCCCATCCACTGAATGCACACAGATAAATCCCCTTTGCAAAATCTCCTTAACTGTCCTTCCACTAGTTGCTTTTCTTCCCCTCTCTCCACTTCTCCAAATTCTCCGTCAGCAACACCCAGGAACCAGGAAAGTAGAACTTTCTAGAGAGGTCTCTTTAGTAGGTATTGGGAGGGGAAAAGCTGAAAACATCCATAGATGTGTAAAGGGAAGACTATGATCCTATCAATGCTGCTTATATTTGATCCAGTGAGTAACTCAATGGATTTTAAATATGCAAAATTAGTTTCACGTAAAGATAGAATTTTATTCTGCTTTATTCCCATATTATAAAGGTCTATCAGGGAGAATATATTGCCTGGTGCAAAATATAAAAAAATTTCATTTCATAGTTTTACTAGGTTTCAAGATGGTAGTTTTCTTTAAAAGATAATGAAGTGGCAGAACCTTAAGACTTCAAGCCAAGGTTCCTCTGAGCACATGGTACATAAAGGATTTAAATTGTCATTTGGCTTGGACTCTGGTAAAGTCATATTTTGCAACCATTTACGGATTTTTTCCCCTAAATTTTAATCTTTCTACTTAGCCAGTAGCTTTTCCTGCAGTACTTTTACATAGCTTTTCCTGAATCGTATCTCCTTTGAGTTTAGTATAACAGTGGCAGTACCACACCTGGAGGTGAGATAATCCTACAGTTCTGGTCGTGTCCAGCCTCAAAAAGAATCAAGGGCACAAGGAAGAACTAAGAGCAACAAAAAGGATATCTGCAACCTGGATAACTTAGGAGGGGGCGTACGGTTTTAATAATGATGGTAATGGCACCTGACATTTATTGAATCATAACATTTATCTGGCATTAATCAAAGTGCTTTGCATAGATATCCTTTCTATCCAACACTCCTGGTTTTGCTATTGTTTCTGTTTCCCATTTACAGATTAGGAAACAGAGGCAGGGAGTGTTAAGGTAACCTTTCTCAGGGTTATACAACTAGCGTTACAGAGACTGACAGAAGCGGAAGGAAAGGCGAGGAATAAACTAGAGATTCTCTGGGGACTCTGAGCAGCAGGAGCTTGTGAAGCATGTATTTACTGAGCTGCAATTAATGTAATTCTGCCACCAGGTTGCCAATCTTTGTGTGTCTACATTCCCAATCTCAAATCCCAAGAGAGTGCACCTGACAGGTACAGCTTTGGTCCATCCCTTATATATTAATGAGCTATGATGAGAGAGCAAGGGAACGTGATAAGGTCACCCCTCCATATGAAGGGCACTGTCTAGAAATGTGGTATTAGCTGTAAACAGGCAGCCACTCCAAGTGGTATCTACTGTATGACCTAATGATGTAAGAAGTTATCACATGCATATGCAAACACAATTTTCTGCAGCTGATAGATGTTCCAACAAGAGTTACATTCATCAACTAAAATACAGAGTGTGTAAGTTTTATTTTTGGTTTCTCTGGAGTATATATGTATACTGACTGAATTAGGAACCATTTACTATCTCATTTTCCTTAATATGGAACCCACCCTGAAATGATGGACTTCTATTCCTAACAGCATGCCATTTTAGCTACTGTGAATGAGCCACCTGGCAAAAACAACTAAACATTCTAGATTAAAAAAAAAAAATCAAATACACTGATGAACTGATAGGAAATGAAGGAATTCTCAGAGAGGATATATAAAGGAGGGGGGGGAGAAAGGAAAAAAGGAAAATGAAAATATCTTGAGAAATAAACGAGGGCCAAAGTGCGCTTTTGTTCAAGGATTATCTGTCAAATTCTGGACACCTAGAGCTCCTGCTTTGATAGTTGTGCAGCAAGCCAGGGTTACAAGATAAAGCCAAGTATAATTTCAAACAGCAGAGTCTAATGGAAGACAAAAATTTGGGCCCAAAAGGATTATATTTCCCATGTAAGGGAGAATGTGAAATAAATCTCATGCACAGAAGAGGCCAGTAAGGAAACATGCCTGTCTTGCCCTTGGAACCCAGTAAAGGGATGGGAAGCAGTCTCCTCTGAGAATCTATAATAAGCCTGTTGGGTTAGAGGCCTAAATTCAATCTATCTGTGCAATAAAATAAACATCAAGTGGAGATTTAATATGGTCCTAAGGTACATGGTGTCTGCAAGCAACTTTCAGAAGCAAATTCTAATACTCTCCAAGAAAACTCAATTTTAATTCCATCCCCAAAGAATTCTTATGCTTACAACTCCAGAAACATGAGTTCAGAGTTCAAAATCACAATCCACAAGGAAACAGGCACCATGAGCAAAAAGTGCCTGTTTTTGAAGAAACAGACATCACAAGACTCATAGAATTTTCAGTATTGGATTGAACTGAAACAGAATATAGACTAAATATATTTGATTTGTATAATAGAAAATCGCTTGAAAATAACCAAACAGAACTTCTAAAACTAAAAATTACTGAAAATTTTGAAATAAAACATATAAAAGAAAGATTAAGACAAATGTAGGATAAAGTGAGAAAGTCTTAGAGAGGTCTTTTAGATGTCCTAAGGGATAATGGCAGAAATTGGAAATAAGCAACAATGAAGAGACAATAGTTGAGAATTTTCTGGGATTGTTGCAGGACCCCAACCCTAAGATTCAGGATCTCCTCAGATCCTAAGCATGGTTTAAGAAACGTTAAGGAAAGAAATAGAGGAAGGAAGGAAGCATGGGATCCAGACTTAGATCACTGCAAAACTACCAAAGAGATCTTAAAACAGGCAACAGGAGGGTTGAGAAAGAGGTGGGAAGGAGAAAGACAGAATGGTATTAGATTGTAGATGCAAGTACAGAAAAAAAACTAGGTCATTCTTAAGGACCGAGGTAACGTTCCGCTGAGATTCACCGATATGACAGAAAAGTATCCCGATTAAAAGCAGTGAAAAAGTCTTGAGTATAAGAATATTCATGGGAGGAAAAAAACAGGAAACCCACACAGACGCACAGTTTCAACTCCAATCTGAAAAACAGAAACATTAAATTATGAGCTAAAGACAGTTTCCCCTGGAAAACGAAAAGAATTAAGAAAAGAGAGTGGAAAAGAAAAATACCTAAAATTTACTGACTGCAAGAGTTTTTAAGAAAAAATTTTAAAAAGAAACTGAGCACGGAAATAGTAAATATACCACCTGTCAACATTTGCTAGAGGTCAAAAAGTAGAAAAAGACAACACCCAGGAGCACAAAGTTCTAATACAAGATATTTACTCAACATAATCTAAAGTTATTGCTAGTACATCCCATTAGATATAAGGTCTCCATCCGTTATTCATGGTTGCTTACTATTTTCTTTTTCTTTGGCAGGTGCAGGTTTATGAATTACATTAGCACGACGACGAGGCAGACCGCAAACTAGATTATATAAATAAATGGCTATTGAAGACTATGCATCTTTTAATCCAGGAAATGCATATCCACTACATACCTTCAGTATAAACTATTTTAAAATTACATGTGCGCCAACCAGATGTCTCATTTATATCTTAAAAGAAAATACTGAGAATAAATTCCAGCAAAGAGTTCTGTTTTAAACAAGCCGAATTGCCCGAACTTTGCTGATTGTTCTAGCGTTTAGAACCTTTGTTATTTGCCTAGCACTACTTGAAATCCATGACTCACAAACGCCCGGGCATGGAGTCACAGGAAAGAACAGGTGAAAAGTTGTCCCTAGTTGTGTTCTGCGGGCATACAACTCCCGTCATTCTCTGTGCAAAAATCAACAAATAAACACAGGCACCGCATTTCAGATTCTGTTGCGCACCGTTTGCAATGGCGCCTGGTTTTTGTAGTCTCTACGTGGAGAAGTGCCAGCGCGTCGTCCTTGCTCAGTTGGAATAAAACTACAGTTCCCACAAAGGCGCGGGGGCAGACACCGGCTGGCTTACGTCATTGCTTCAGCCAACCAATGACAGCTGCGGGCGGCAGTGAGGCAAGCGCCGTCAGGCGCCAAAGTGGTTTTTTTTTTTGTTTTTTTTTTTTTTGCCGGAGTCGAGCGGGTGCTGCTAGCGGAGGCGCCATATTGGAAGGGACAAAACTCCGGCGACAGCGAGTGACACAAATAAACCCCTGGACCCCCTCGTTCCCCCAGCTCTAAGGGCCGCGATGTTGTACCTAGAGGACTATCTGGAAAGTGAGTGCGCGGTGCTGGCGGGGGCCGCCTGTGGGACCTGCGGGCGGGCGAGAGCGCGAGTGGACGGGCAGGCGAGATGGCGGGAGGGAGGGGGAGGCGGGGGATGTTTCTTTCTCACGGTAACTGGCAGCCTCGTTGTGGGCTGCCGACTCCCCGGACCCCCCCTACGCACGCACGCACGCACCGACGTAAGCGCGTAATTCGCCGTTGGCCCCGCCCCTCTGACGAACTCTCCCTTTGACAGTGATTGAGCAGCTTCCAATGGACCTGCGGGACCGCTTCACCGAGATGCGCGAGATGGATCTGCAGGTGCAAAGTAAGTCGGCGCGTTTGCTCGTGTCCGCTGCGCGCGTCCGGTGCCGGACTTGCTTGCCATCAGTGCTAGCGCATGCTGCTGTTTGCCCTTCGGCTCGCTCCGCTAGTGCATAAGGAGTTGTCAAAGAAGTGAGTGTGCTGAATCTCGCCTCTTGCTTCTCACGCTACTTTTCTTGTAGCTTTTACAAGAGACGGAGACATTTGGATACGTGTATTCTTCTCTCGAATTTGGGACCGTTCGAAAAATATTTCTCTACTGTCATTGAGAATGTAGATACATGTTTTAGTGGACATCAACATAAAGGCTAAGAAGACTTTGGCTTGAGCCTTTCTTTATCAGACTTAGATTTTAGCAGTTATAACTTCGGTAAAAGCTCATTCTATTCAAAATTTCCCAAGAGTGGAAAACAGAAGCGCAGGTTATATGTAGAATGTCAAATTTTGGAAAGTTACACATTATAGGATACACTTTGAAGTGTCAACAGCATGGTCATTTTCTAAGTCAAAATGAGTGAGGAGAATAAGATTTTACCATAGAGCTTATTGTCTACTGTAATAAAAATTTCAGCAGTTAATGGGCATTTCTTTTTCTTTCAGTAATAGCTTGGTGGTCCTGTGACTTTTTTCCCAAAATTAACCTTGTTCTTTCATAGAGCAAAGACTGTTAAGTAAGTAGCTCAGAGACTGCCTGGGGTAGCTAAGAATCTGACCTTTTCATACCCTCTTGCTCCCCCCCCACACACTGCTATACCCTTTATTCATGAATATACTTTTCTCATCCTCTTGTCAGTCTCATGTGGCACATAATAAAAGGTGGCATTGTATGGAAGCCACCTACTTCTGTTCAGTGGATCATAGTGTGGAAGTCTGAAGTATGTGTGGTTCTTTACAAAACTGGATATAACTTTAATATAGCTGAAATGCTAAAGATATGCCAAAGTAATGTTCTTTGTAGGATTGAGCACAGTCTTTGATGTCAGATAGATCTGAGTTTATTTTAGAGTTTCATAATTTACTCATTGACTTTGACTGCATTACCACTTCTGAGGGGTTTTCATTTTCTATAAAAAGTGAATTGTCTGAGGATTTAAAATAATCCCCAAAATTAGAAAGTATAGTACCCAATAAAGGTAGGCATTAAATAAACAATAACTCTTATTTTAAACTTTTTTGTTATTATTAAAAACTTTAAATTTTCTTGTAATTTTGGACTTAGATTATTATACAAATTATAGGTATTTTTAAAACTTGCATTTTTTACAATACCTAGAATTTTTCTAAAGCTAATAGTTTTAAGGATTAATGAAAGAGACTTGTGTCAAGTGAGTTAACAAATTCTTTTTTAAAACAAAGGAAAATATGTTTAAAAATTAACCATAGGACTTCTGAGGATCTTTAAGAAGCTATTATGCAATGAAATTTTCCAAAAGAAGACTATAGTAAAAAGATTTTCTTCAACTTAACATAACAGAATTCCTTTTATTTATTTTTCCTTTTTTAACAGACATCCAATGAGATGATTATACTTGGCACATAGGGGAAAAACTTATCTTTAATAAATAATATAGTGTATTAAGTAAATAAATGATTATATATAGTTTCAGTTGTGATATGAGATGATGAGATATTTAATACCAAATAGAAAATCTTTTTATCACTTTTCCTTATTAAAGGAAGTGTGAGGATTATCTAGTGGTGCTTTAATTGTGTTTTGGCACATTCGACTGATTTACTACCATCAGCTATTGACCCTACAGCTATACTATTCAAAAACTATGGTATAGTTATTGATTCTAATTAACTATTGGAAAAAGTTTTGAAATAACAACAAAAATAGTCAGTAGGGAAAATTGTAACTTTTTAAAACTAAGGTAATTAATGCATTATATTAATATATTTACGTAATCAAGCATAACATATTTAAGTTATTGGCCAAGTGAAAGAGCATATGTTGTCAGATTTTTTTCTTTCTTCACATCAAAGCATGTATATTTGGTGTATGAATTTGGTCATCTAAATATGAAATGTGTTTGTTATGTCATAGATGCAATGGATCAGCTGGAACAAAGAGTCAGTGAATTCTTTATGAATGCAAAGAAAAATAAACCTGAGTGGAGAGAAGAACAAATGGCATCCATCAAAAAAGTATGTGTGACACTTCAGATGATTTGCCAATAAATATTGGGATCCTTTGAAAAAGATATGTTAAAAATTAAATAGTTTTTCTATGGGACAAATGAGGGAAGTTATCAATGCTTCTTTAGAACTTAAGTAATTTATTGTGTTTTAGACGTTCAGGTATAGAGATTTTTAACCATTAGAGCATTTTGGTAATTTTAAAAATTGTTTTATAGTGATTATTAGAAAATTACAGACCATTTAAAAAGTACATTTTTTTCTATTTTGTTTTATTCTAGTTATATATAATTAAAGTTGCCTCGTTTTTAGAGATACAATACTCTATTTCTTTTTGACCACAAACTGGAGTGAAAATCAGGAGACCTTGAAGAGAATCATACCTTGCTAGATACCTAAGTTGGTGGACTCATGGAAGAATATGATCTTAAAAGTCTGAAGGATCCTAAAAAAGCCTTTTAGTTTACTCTCTATATTTGCACATGAATTGGATCTACAAACCCAAAATTCTTTTGAGTTTTTATTAGTTTTATAGTACTTATAGCTCTCTTCCAGATTAGCATAGACATCAGCTCATACTCCAAGGGTGCTTTAAACATGATCTAATTCATTCAGGGATATGTTGGAAGAACAACTTAAAAGACTTGCGTTTGGTCAACACTCTGCCATTTAACTGTGTGACATTGGACAGGTCTTTTAATATTGCTGAATAATAATGCTTCCCTAAACTGAACCTTGATAGAATTGTTCAAGTATTAAATAAGAAAGAAATTTGGAAACTGCACATTGAGTAGTTGTGTTATTTATTCTACTGCATGGAGGGAAGATTATTTCTGTTAGGAGAAAAAAAAAGTCACAATCTATAACAGAAGTGGTCCTGGCTTGGAAGATACCTGGAGGTACAAGTGTATGTGAGTATGGACATCACATATATACATCCCAGAGTCATGATCATCCTTTTAATATATTAAGTTTTTGATATAGCACAACTTGAATATCCCAAAAAGTTTGGTACCCTGTGGAAATTCATAGTATTTCCCCTGCTTTTTTTTTTTTTTAATAATTTGCTTTAGAGGAGAAATCTAATGTATAGGTTGAGTTGTATAGATTTAAAATGGGAGTTATAGAACAACTGGAAAATAGGGATATGCAGATCAGAATCTTTTCAATAGCTGTATTTTTACTAAAAAGTTTTAAAACTGGAGTATAAATGTACAAGTTAGACCAATTTTAATTAATGCTCTTTTTTTTGTTTTAAATACTATCCATTAGCTCATGTAGCTTTTTCTAGTATAGAGACTAGATTTGGAATGGCATTTGTTTTTATTTATATCTTTTCTAGGAATTCTGGACATCTTTGTTTAATTCCTGGCCATTGTTCATAATTTCTAATCCTTTCCCATCCCCACTCTATCTCTAATTAGGTTTTTGTTGTTAATGTAGGATGACTGACAGTGATAATGGTATGATAATAGAAATGTGTATGTGTTCTAAATAAGCATATTTTAGAATCATTAATTCTTAAAATGAAAATGTTTTTATTCAGGACTACTATAAAGCTTTGGAAGATGCAGATGAGAAGGTGCAGTTGGCAAACCAGATATATGACTTGGTAAGTAAAATTAATGTGCATATAATGCCCCAAGTATTTGAAAAATGGATTTTGTTTTAAATTTTATTGGCTTAAATGTTATAGAAAGAACACACTAAAAGTGAAGTTTTTCTCTCTTGGTCCCACTGTATTGATCCCATTTAATTTGAGAGCTCAGTATCTATTTTTTGTTTCTTTGTAAAAGAGTCAGAGAGTGTCCTTAGTGTTAGTTAATAGGTCAAGAACCTTACACTTTAGTCAAGGCTGTGTTGCTGTACTATTGTATCTGATTTTAGATACTTTTTATAACAGAAGAATTAGTGTGTAACTTTATTTTGCTAATCCATATCTTCTTAAGGTAGTGTGTTTACTTGCTTGATAGATCATTTTGAAATTGTTTCTGTGGTAAAATACAAGTACTGTGTTGACAAAAGTTTTTGGTAGTCCCGATAAAAATGAAGAAGAGAATCATTTGAATCATTGTTTACCTGAGTGATGTTAATAGATAGTACTTAACAAGTATTTTGGTAGTTTGGAAAATATTAGATAACATAAACTTTAATAAACTTTAAAAAAGGCTTCTTTTTTGCAGCAACACCTTTAAAAGATTGAAATCACCAAGAAGACAGATACAATATTTCTCTAATTGATGTAATTATGGTGCTCTTTTTGTTTTTTTATGTGAAGCATCTTCTAAAATGCGTACTTTAGGAAATATTCTGTTTTTGCCTTAAAGGAAGTTAAAGCAGAAAACAAATGCTCACTTTTGGTTAACTTTAGTATATAGAGTTCATTTCTTATTTGTGTAGTCTTTCCTGGGTACGGCTTTATTACTGAACAAGTACATGTAAATAAAAAGTCATTGGTTGAGCAGGACACAAGATAAAATGCATATGCCTCATATGGTATAAATTATAAATACTTATACCAAACTAGAAAACATTTGTCATGTAAAGCCATTGAAAATGTTTAGTTGTTTTTATATAGTGAAAATATCTTAATGACTATAATAACGTAGGCTCTTTATTCTAGAAAACATTTTGTAAAAGACATGGCCTAAAGAAAGGTATAGTAGGCTGTAGCTTGATTTACTGTGTAATAAACAAATAAGAAGTTTTTAATTGTGTTAGTCTTGAGTTATGTCTGTAAACGTAGAAAAAGGCATTTATGTTTGAATCTAAGACAAATTTGTTTAATAACATTCTTACTCCTGTTTAATGACTATGTATCAGTCTTTATTTAGAAACTACATGCTTTTTAAATCATATAGGTCTTTGGTTCTATCTTTGTTTTTTTGTTGTCATTTTATTACTTTTTATACCTTTACTAAAGATAATTTGTGTATTTAAAGCAAAACAACATAAATATATGCTTTTTAAATATGTGTATATGTATTCATCTGTTATTTATGAATCATACTGTTCATCCACTGTGTGCCTGATAAAATGGAGTTTTACCTGGGTATAATGGAGGAATAAAAAGTAAATACTAGAAATGGTTCCTGTCCTGTAAACTGCTATAGTTGGGAAAATATACCCACAAAGTAGAGTGGAGGATCCATATATTAATTGAAAGATGTAACAAATAAAGATCAACACAGTTGAGTATTAAGGGGTATCTGGTAAAAAATTGAAGCAAGTCATGAAAGAGTTATTTGTTGATTTCTTAGTGGGCATGAAATGAGTTTTGACAGAGTTTATTCAGAGGGTCAGGGGCCTAGATAAGGTGTTATATTGAGGGGAAAGCATTTCACTCAGAGATAATGGCATAAACATAGAATGAAAGTAAAAATTAATAAATTATTTGAATGGGATAGATTACCAAGATTGGAGAGTGAGGTAATAAAGATCATATAATAAATTTAATAAGATGCAATAAATAAGAGATAATAAAGGTCATATACATTTAATAAGATAAATGTAATGATAATATATTTATTACATAATGATTCATAATAAATATAATGAAAAGTAAATGTTTACAATGGATTCGTACAGATTTGAGTTCAAACTGTAGCTCAGCAATTACACTAGCAGTATGACTTTGGAAAAGTTATTTAATCTTGAACCTCAGATTCCTGCTGTAAAATAGCAGTATTAATTTATACCTTATTGGAGGAATTGCATTAAGTTATATATAATGCTCTTAAGCATTCACTTTAAGACTTGGTGCATCTTCTTCCCTGAACTGGAATTTTCTGCTTTTCTGAAGCCACTAATTCTCTGTCAGCTCTGCCAAGTTGAAGTTTCCTCTTACTCACTTAGTACCTTTAGGACTGCCTTTGCTACTGCCCTTGCCTACTGCCCAGATAGAGGCCAGTATACTGAGACAGCAGGAGTTACAGCAGAGAAAGGGTTTAACATTGCAAGGTGCCAAGCGAGGAGATGGGAGAAATTTCTCAAATCCACCTCCCTGAAAATTTTGGGGCTAAGATTCTTAAAGGTGGCTTGGCAAAAAAAAAAAAAAAAACGGATAGGGTGTTGGATCTGCTGATTGGCTGGGGGTGAACTCATATGTTGGGAAACAGAAATAGTCTTCTTGGCTGAGACAGTTCCTCGATAGAGGGTCACAGGACTTGTTGGATGAGTTTCCATGCATGACCACTGGTCTAGTTGATGTCACTTGGTCCTCTCGAATGCAGAGTCTGGAAGATATCTCAAAGAGCAATCTTCGGTTTTTATAATAGCTATGTTATCTGTAGAAGCGATTGGAGAGGTCACAAATCTTGCTTCTGTTGAGGGTACATAACACTTAAGCAGTAAGCAAATACGGCAGTACGCAAGTTGGGGAACAATGGGTGGTTAACTTTTAGCTATGTCTATACTTACATAGAAATCAGACTTTTTATCACAGTTCCTATCTTATGTTTTTACATGATTTTATTAATAATATAGGCAGTTTCACTTTTTGTCATTTCTCCTTCCCTCCCCTCATTTCCCATCTCCTCCCCTGCTCTGCCCTCTACCTTTTTATTGTCTTTATCCCTTTCTCTCATGCTCCCTTTCTTTTTAAATACTTCATTGTTATTTCAGAAGACCATTATATCTTTAATATAAAAATCCCTTCTTCTTTGAGATTTAGTCTTTTTATTATCACTATAATTTAATGGCTTCTAGGCCAGTCTTCTTCATTTATTGAGAAACTGGCACCTTGTTCACAGTTGTTCTCTGTTGAAATCCTCTTACTTCCTAGTCTTCAACTTCTTTGAGTTTGGTAAATACTAACCCAGTTCAGTTGCCACGGGCTAACCTGATCATTTGGAATTGCCCTACTTCTGAAAAACCTCCTGCATCTATACTTCACTTCCTTCTATTTTAAGAGCCCTTTCCTATCCAGTGGAGACCCTGGTTGAGCTCTTGATCTCTTTTCTTACCCTTGCACATTGTTGCTGTCTTAGGGAATATTTTTACTTGCTTTAAAGATCAGTAGTCATCACGGTTAGCTGGCACGGCTGGAGAAAGTCACGTAGCCATGTAGTTGGTGCCACTACAGATTCATTGTTTTCATTATCATTTGTGCCCTTTACATTTGACACTACTTGTTAGTCGTTGTATTTGAATTTGGTTAATTTCTCTTGTTCCTCCCAATGGCTGTTCTAAAACTATGCTGCACTTGTCATACAAACATTCCCCTCTCCAATTGTGTGATCTTGCCTTATATTGAGAATAATATATTTTCAGGCTAGCTGGTAGGAACCTAATGAAATATATCCTGCATATCAATTTTGCAAAATCTCATGTCTTTATATAGTCTTACTCTCTTACCTCTTATCCCAAAGGATGAGGTGTTCTTCCTCCTTTGTATTCTTCCACTTTTGTTACTGTTCTCATCCCTTCGTGAGACTTCTGTGATTTTGCTGCATCACTTAAGTCTTCTCTTCTTTATCTTCAGTCTCTCTTCTTTCAACTGGCTCCCATACCATGTATTTAAATATACTTAGATCTTCCTCATATTTAAAAAGAACCCTGACAAACAAACACAAATTTTGTTATTAATGCATGACTCTACTTTAGCTGGCATTGTCCTTGAGTTTCTCACTTAGCCCCTTTGACATTCCCTCACCTTCAGTTTATTCCTAAACCATGGCAATCTGGATTCTATTTACCAATCTTATGAAACTTAAGTTGATAACTTCTTTATTGCTAAATCCACTGCACACTCCTCAGTCCTTTTTAACTGACTCTATCAGGAAATTGAATGTTGTTTACCATTCTTTTTGCCGTGACATATCTTGCTCATGTGTTACCATGTGACTGCTCTCTCCAGATTCTCTATCTTAGAGGCCTTTATCCCCTTGGATTTAGCTCAATGATGGTGTTCCTCAGGGTTCTGTCCTTGACCTATGCTATTTCTTATTCTTCAGATGGTTTTCACGTAAAGATAATTCTCTTCCCCTTCTCTACCTGCCCCAGAGGGCCAGGAACATCAAATGCCACACAGGGAATAATTGTTCTGTCAAATGTCAATTTTATCCCTGCCCCCTTCATCACACCCAGGTGAGAAACACTCCATTACCTTTCTATGTGTTCTCTTAGTTTTAACAATTAAGCATTAATTCTTCCTTAAGCCAAGACTTCCTTTGTGTCTTTTTCATTTTATCTGAGAATTCCCAGGCCCTAGAACTTGGTGTAATAAATCTTAAAACTGTTAGTCTCTCCTTTTTCTTCTCCTACTCCTCTCCTACTCCTTTTTGTTTCTAAATCTCAGAACCACTGACTTTGTAGTCATTCAAATTAGGATACCCTAGACTGCTCCTTGTCCCTAACTTCCTCACCTATGTGCTTTAACCTATCCCCCAGCATAATTGTGTCAGCCTCTAGATCACTGTTATTCAGATGATTTTACCTTTGTTTCCCTATTATAAATGTCAAGAACTCTGTCTTTTTATTTTAGTGTCTTTAGGACCTAGCAGAGCTATCCTTCAGTAAATATTTGTTCAACAAAATTACCTGAATATGTTAATGAAGAAGAAAAAGCATTAGCGTAACTCCCAAGTTGTGACTCTTGGGGATAGATGGTCT